TACAGTACAGTATGAAGAGAGAGAACACTAACCTTGCTTGAGGCGACACGGGTCGTGTTCATTACCCGATGCGGGGTTCGCGAATGGAAGCAAAATTTTGAGAATACTGCTGTTCGCGAACCGAATTGTTCGTGAACAGAAGCATTCGTGAACCGAGGTATTACTGTATATGAAATAGGATTCAGCTCCAAGTTCCTGAGTTTGCTTTCACTCCTATGATCCAATTTTCCTGGGAATCTTCTTCACTGATTCTGGTTAATGTGAGCAACCTGGCATACAGTATATAAGGCCAACTACTCTCATATGTGTTTCTAGGTTAAGTATTCTTAGCTATTCATGACTTTTGCAAAATTCCACCAACCCATTGGTTTCAACTTGGAGTTGATACAGACCAAGCATTTTATTTTGTGTATATCTTTTTGAATCACATCCTGGGACTTTTCTCTGGATATAGATCTTTTTGTAATTTATTAATTACCAGCATAGTCAGTGGCAGTAAACAGGACTGTGCAAAACAAGATGGTAATAATCATTTTGCAATTAAAGTAAAGTGAAACGGGGGTTGATTTGTTCATTTCCAAAGTCATTATTTAGTGTGGTTGATAAGGTTAGGCTAATTTAGTGTTTTTAAAATAACATTTTGATACCTTGGTGGTTTATTAAATGCTTGGTAGGGATCATTGATATCTTTGCTTTCAGATGAACAAGTGTCTAAACAGCAGTCTGTTTACCTCTACTTTTTTTACAGTGATACCAAATAAATGTCTAGCGGCAGTGGTGCCAAAAGGGGACTTTTTAAAAAAATGAGAAATGATAAAAATGACTATTTTTAAAAAATCCATGTTAAAAATTCATTGCTTACCTATTAATGAGATAATGCTAAAATGGATAGGATTAATACTTATCCACACTGATTAATAGAAATTAAAAATTATTTTTTCATGTCTCCCCATTGGCTGTTTCCTGTTCATCACAGATGAGTAAGAGGTTGGTCTTGGCTAAGAAGTTAGTTTAAGGGAGTTGCAGTCTACCTGTGCTAAGATCCAGTAGCTTTCTCTTTACAAATGAAACTTTAAGTTTAAAAGGATTCCACACAAAATAAACATACTTTACAGAAATTTTGATCAATGGGGCTGCATTAAATTAATATACTCGGACCCTATTAATCTGGGCAACAAGCAGGCAGCAGGCAGACACACAGTGCCTTCCTTTTTTCCATCTTAGTGTAAGAAGATTTCATTGAAGACTTTCCATGGTGATTTTCCACACTACAAGATAAAAAGATAGATAGATAGATAGATAGATAGATAGATAGATAGATAGATAGATAGAT